ACCGCCAAAATAATGTTCGTATTTCTACTCTACTACCGCCAAAATAATGTTCGTATTTCTACTCTACTACCGCCAAAATAATGTTCGTATTTCTACTCTACTACCGCCAAAATAATGTTCGTATTTCTACTCTACTACCGCCAAAATAATGTTCGTATTTCTACTCTACTACCGCCAAAATTTTCACCGCTGTACAATTTGAAATTGGTCGATGCCAGACTTATTCATCTACACAAGCGAAGAAGAAATTGCGCCGCTGCAATGTAGGCTTGAGTAGCTGTGCTGTGGAACAAATTGAAGAAGAAAAAACGGTCGCTTCGAGATGCATTATATAAAACTATGCACTACTGATGTCAGCCTGATACGATTCGCTGTGTATCATAGCTGCTCAAATTCATTAACATAGTGAGACTGTTTGACATAACTCCCTAACTGCAGCTCCTACATATAAGTTTTATTGATTCACCCTGACGTTCGACTGACTATCTTTTCTTCACTGTTGTCCACCCATCATCTTCTTCCTGCAATGATTGGGTGAAAACAATTACCCAAAAAAATGCAACAAAAGCGCAGAGATGTTTTTCAATCTTTATGCCAACAACAACACATCTGTACGTAAATTCGGCAACATTATGCAGAACTGGCTCTAAGAATATACCTCCAAATATACCAGGTTGTAGATTAACGTTCACAGATGATTTGGTCGTAATGTGACAACGAATAGACCATCAGTTATGCAAGGTACGCAACTCCAATATGCAGTTGTATACTTACCATTGCTGCCTCTTCCTCTGCGCGAGCAGCAGCGGTCTCCGCGGCTTTGGCTTCTGCGGCCGCCGATGCCAGTTTTGCTCGTTGTGCTTCTAAAGCATCATCCTGAGAAAGGCAAATTTTAGAGAAAGGGATAAAAATTTCAGAAGGCATTCAATCAGGTGGAGCTTCAAATTATACTCGCAATACATCCCGTGCACATATATCACAAACACAGCGAATGATAACAAACAGATATTTTAAAAGTACACTCCTTACACCAAAAGAACCACCATAAGGCTGATTTCGCAGCACTATCAGTTTACATACCACGAAATATTCGACGCGCTTTCCAGATTCTGTTTTCTTCTGCAGCTTTTGTTCATACTCGATTGCAGTCTTTTTTATCCATTCCATATCACCAGCGTCAACTTTAGAAATGGCCTCAAAAATCAACTCAGCGACCTGGTTCGACCGATGCCAACACAACCCTCAGTTAACGGCCACGTTGGACACCAGGTTGCATAGGTGCTTTGTATGCGTTGTTTAACACATCACGAGTACCAGGCACATCATCACGGTCACATACAAACGTGCCTACGACTGCAGTATACCACGGGTTTCACACTGTATAGCAAGTTTCTGCTTTTGAACTCGAAAACGATTGTAAAACATACCACACGTTGGCTGCCATCCTCAGCCGTGCAGTTGAAGTCAATCTGTATATATTCATCAAGCATATCCTCTAGGTCATCAATGTCGACTTTTTTACCTGTCATCGGGTGGTTAGTGGTTACACAGGTGGTGAAATTCCTACTCAAAGCAAAAAGCGCAACCAAAACGTAAATCTACAATAAAGTTTCTTTAGGTAGAAGTCTGAGGCGTTAGACCGGTCCAGCTGATCTACGTGCTGACTACACAGCCTATATCGTGCTACATAACACTTGCTAAGTATATATACAATGAGCTGGCAAAACATAGTGCATTCAAAAACAGTAGTGATTTCCAACTAGAATGAAGAACAGTAAGCTTGCGACAAAACAACAGGCCATCATACAACTCTGCACACAACACTAGATAGAAGTGCAATCTAAATTCAAACCATACTAGTTGTATTCCTACATGAAAATAAACGTGAGCATAAAGTATAAAGATTAATATTCGCTGCTATATGTATATATACACAAATGACAATGGAGCGTCATGGAAAAACTCGAAATTATACTTCCACCACAAATAATATAAAGCTGTAAAGGTGCTAAGGATATAATATATAT